AAAAAAAGACACGAATAACGGGATTCCACTACCACCGCTACAGGGCATGTTAGTGCCAAAAGGCACGTTTGCCAAAGCAACGAGTAACGGGTCAAAAGAAAATAATATACGTGAAGTAGAAAAAGAACAAGTAAAGATGGCAGCCGAAGCCACTAGTGGCGCGCAAACTGCAACCATGGGTAGCAACAACAATACGAGTAAGCTAAACGAAAATGAAAAGTACAGTGGTTACTACTCAGAAAATCACACAGGGGATTTTTGTGTCCTCATAGACACAAGCAAAAGCCCGCTGTGCAGTAACGAGAATATGAAAAATGGCCTGTTTCTTTGGGAAAAAATCAGCAATTTCAAAATCGAAGGTATAAAAAATATTAAAGCCATAGGTAGATCCCTGTACAAAGTTTTTTTTGAGTCTTATACTCTAGCAAATAAGTGCCTTGAAAACCCAGAACTAGCAAAAAATCTAATGAGACCGTTTATTCCTAGAAACTTTGTTGAGACGATGGGAGTTGCACCCCAAATCCCCACGTCTTTTTCGGAGGAAGAAATATTAAAAAACATCAAATCTGAAATAAAAGTAACCTCTGTTACGAGAATAACAAGACGTGATCCAGACAATAGGGACAAATTTTTACCAACGTTAACGGTTAAAATAAGCTTCCAATGCAACGATTTGCCGGAAACGGTTGAGCTTTTTTATGTAAAACTAAAGATCTCGCATTATATACCAAGAGTACGGCAATGTTTCAATTGTGGAAGGTTGGGACATACCAAGCTCGGCTGTAAAGCAAAGAACAGATGTGTATTATGTGGCAAAGAGGAGGGCAGCAGCAGCAAATGCATGACCAACAACAACAGCTGTATTTTATGTGGCGAAGAAGGGCACAACTCGCTCAACAACAAGGCGTGCAAAAGATGGCAGAAGGAGGAGAAAATTTTAGAAGTCATGACAATCAAAAAAATTTCAAAACGAGAAGCCATGGAAGTCTATAGCTTCAACACAAACAATCAGTTTTCAATTCTGGACAACTATGACGAAGCCTTCCCACCGATTAAGCCCAACAACACGGGGACTATAGATAAAGATCGCGTAATAAATCGGAAGCTGACTACAACCAAATACAGTTATGTTACTAAAAGAGCAACCAATGACTCAGCCACAAACACTGGTAATCCCAAAAGCCTGAGACAAAAAAGTGAAACACAGCCGGTCTATGAAAATCCCAAATGGAACAAGGTCACTGAAATTGAAAAGTTGGTTACCTTATTAATTAAAAAATTTGAAATTGATAGAGAAGAACCACTAGTAAAGTTGCTAGAAAACATATGCAAGGTTAATATTGACGACAGACTCATTATTAACACCAATGATGAGTGTAAAAGTCCTGCAGTACAACATCCAAAGCCTCAAAACTAACAAAAACTATGTAGATTTTTTTAACAATAAGAACAACATTGATATTGTCTGCCTTCAGGAGATTTTTTCCCATGACGACCAAATTAATGACCACAAACTCCCAAACTTCAATATGCTCAAAAAAACAAGAGCAGATGGGTTCGGTGGCGTAGCCATAGGATTCAGGAGAGAAATTAGATACAGCAAAATAAAATATAACACCAGACAGGACATCATAATAGCTAAAACCACATGACAGTCACCATATGCAATGTGTACTTTCCACCTAGCACAACCACTAGAGTTTTCGAAAAAGAAATAAATAGATTAGCAATTTTTTTAAGCAACCACGTCAATGTCATCCTAGTAGGAGATTTCAATGCTAGGCACATGAACTGGGGAGATAGCATTATAACCCCGAAAGGAAATGCACTCAGCAGGGAACTGTCTAACACCAGCTTAATCTGTCTTAACAACGGTACAAAAACGCATTACTGTAGTAACAGTAACAACAACGCTGGATCGGTTCTAGACTTGACTTTCTCAACCATAGCACCCAGCAGTGCCAACAGGTTAGTATTGGTGGAAGCAGGCATTATCCTATTATTATTGAAATCAAGCAAATTCAAAAATTACCCAACTTCTTTGTTCCAAAACGCAAATTTATAGAAAAACTAGCCACAGTTTAGTAATTTGGATAATCTGCAAAAGGACATTCAAGCAGCTAGAAATAAAGTAAAGATTGACCTAAACAAATCAGGACACAAACCAAAAGCGTGGTGGAACGAGGAGCTAAACAAATTGTACAGGTTACAACTAGCGAAAAGGAAAAAA